AGCCTAATCAATTAAAATTGATGAGATATTAACTAAAATGATTTAATAAAATAAAGAAAATAATTGTTAAGATATAGTGATAGCCTTATGGCCGGTAAACCGCTAGTGGTATAGTAGAGGAGAGAAGAGAAGAGAGTGCTAAATTTTAGAGAAAGAAATTGCTTGATATTAATGATGTTTGAACCCTTTACAACTGCCTTCAAGTGGCATTTATGGTAGTAATAAATGAGGCGGTGCATTAAATGCAATAAACATGTTGGCTAATCTATGAGCGAGAACCCTGGGGCATATTAGAACTTGACGTGTGTCATTCTCTAACTGACTTCTACCCTAGTTCTCTCTGTGGACCGAGGTGATGATGGCCGAGGTGCAAGAGTGCACCCCTGATCTAGTGTTGTCCTTGTTCCCGAGCTGCTGTTTGGATTATGTGGCCGATGTGACACCACCAAGGCGATGAGACCGAGGTGACTGTAAGAACATAGAGTTGTTTTGTTCATTCTGGGTCATGCATGTTTGACGGATCTTTAGTGGTTTTGTGTATCCAAGAGTGTGTGGGCCGTGGATTGGAGCGCATATAATCTATCAGGAGCCCCCACTCTCTGAGCTGAGAAGCCTCGAAGTGAAAGGGAGTAGAGTTTTCTCACGTTGATCATGTGCTTTGATTTTATAGTGTTCATTATTGTACTACGATTTGATGCCTTCCGTGGTTAGGATGGTCTTCTTACGTCTTTGTTGCATTTTCCGGTCTTTGAGTAGGAGAATCCATACCTCATGTGCTCTTGCTTATTTGATGCTTGTGCGCTGATCTACGAGGTGATGCCAACAACCAGAGTGTGATCAACTGAGTACTCCATGGTTCATGCTTGGGTGAGGCCAGAGTGCGTTTGGAGTTTGGTTCTGTGGTGCTTCGCGTTCAAGTACCCGCGGAGCGTCTCAAGAAGCGTGCTAGGAGACAGGTGGCATGAGTTGATCGATCTGTCGAATGTGGGCGGTCGCGTCGATTAAATCGAGTGGCAAGCGACGCGTTGACACGTGCAATGACCATTGGGGTGTCATCATTGTTATCCCTACAAATTATGAGTTGCGTTTTCTTGAGATTATGATGTAGTGTTGTCAAATTCTAGAAAAACATCCTTTGATGTTCTTCGCCAATCTCTCAACCTTCAAATTTAGTTCTTCATCTATTTTTCTCACATTTCCTATACTTAGATTCTAGAGCTTTAGAGTAAGTGTTTGTCAGAAATCGTCCTTTGATCCATACAAAGGTAAGTATAAATATGTTAGTGACGTCGTCCTGTGAGTCGCAAAACATCTCTAGATCACCTGATGTCAACTCGGAGGCCGAGGAGTACTTCTCATGTTCTGATAGCTCAGAGTTGGACCCCAAGGTGGTGGTGCGCCTGTTGGCGCATTTTGCTGCCGAAGTGGAGCACGTGAGTGAGGTTAATGGTGAGGATGACGCATAATCTTCACAAGCGGCCAAGGTGTTTGATATAGTCGTTTGTGAAACAGAGTGCCTGAGCGATGCTGAGGCGCTGAATAGCGCAAATATGTGGCGATACTTCCAAAGAAACAAAGATATCGCCAACATGTTCCTCCCGGCGTGCCCTAGGGCTATTCATTCTTGGATTGTTCTTTTCTGAAGATCATTCGTCCTGACAATGCCGAGTGTGACCTTACCCTTGCCCAGATGCGCGTCGGGCCACATGGAGTTGTGAGAGAGCCGCTGCCTATGGACTGCATCCTCACGCCGCTGAAGGGATACTTCTAGGCTCTCATTTTCTCTCTCAAAGGGTCTGAGGTTCCCACTGCACCCCTTTTTATAAAATATTTTGAATATACCACCCTCTGGCCCGCCCAAATGTCTCCGAACAGCTACGCCCTTATCACGGAGTTCTTGCTGAGGTGCTTCAATCCGAACATAGAACCGTCTTTGAGGTTGTTCATGAATTTGTTAAAACTTAGCCGAGGTGGTCATAAAAATTGTGGCATCTTCACGATCTGCAGTAATTTCCGAGGAGGAGGAGCTTCAAGGGGCTTCCCATCTCGACTAAGGGCTGGAAAGGCCGCTTTATGTTCATCTCAGTTTGTCCTGAGAAGATAATCCCCTCAGAGTATTCTGAGGTGTTCACGAAGCATGTTCCTGCGAGGGAGGTTGCAGATGATTATATGGCGGATATCGTTAGGGAGTTCGTTCGAGACGGGCCTAGGGATCTGACGAAGTACATGATCGAGGAGAGGATGGCGCTACTTGGGTAGGAGCAGTACCGTCTTCCTAGAGAAAAAAGGATGGTTTCTCCCCCGAGATGGTCGAGGGGCCTGAGCGAGCCAAGTTGCACAGGTTCCTAAAAACCAAGGTTGCCTGAGTTTTGTATTTCATTGTAGTATTGTCTTGTCCTTATCTTCTTTTTCCATTTTTGCTAACTTGTCTTTTCTTTAATTTATATAGCTGTCATGGATATAAAATCACTTCTTGCTCAATCTCGTCAAGCGATGATTGTCGAGAAGAAGGCCGTCAAGAAGGCGGCTGTTGGTGAGAAGGCACAGAAGTAAACGACTGATGACAAGAAGCGGTCGAAGAGGCCGCCAACTGCCAAGGCTAAGGCCTCTAAGGCCAAGAAGCAGAAAAATGCCGAGGGGCAGAAAACATTGTAGGAGACTGCGCTGATCCCGAAGAAGGTCGTTGCATCTTGAGAATCCGAGGGGAACTCCTTTGCAGATGTTGCCATGCTTGCATATGTGATTGACGTGGAACAGTTATCTGTGAGGGCTACTCAGATTCAACCGTCACCCCTTCAGGTTATTCAGCATGCCGCCTATTCTGAGGGGGGTCCGGAGAGGCCTTTGTCGAGCGGCCTTTTCAGACTGTTAGTTTCAAGCTCCACGTCAGCGGGAGTGTTATTGATGGTTCTCTTCATGGCCATGAGCTTTTCTTACTGCCCATCAAGAGGCTTTGAAGATCTTTAGTGATGAGGCCCTCTATCAAAATGACATGCATGACGTGACTAAGGTAAGTCCTTCCTTATGTCTTTCCTTCTATTTATTCTTCGTATCTGATAACTAACAACTGAACCTTTGTGTCTCGGATCTCAGGGAGCCACGTTGTTGCTAGATTACGGATGGGGATGTGCTCCAAGGCACGACAATTTGAAAAATGGAGCAGGACCACAAGGAGCATGACCTATGCATTGGCTGTTCTGGAGAAGTTGATTGAGGGCTGAGGTGGCCAATCAGGCGTCGCTTCTTGAGGCTGAGAAGAAGGCCAGGGTTTCTATGGAAGAGATCTATAAGAAAAGTATTGTTTCTCTGGGGACGTTAGATAAGGAGAAGGAAAAATATGAGGTTGTTGCTGCTGAGGGGCTTAGGAAGGCTAAGGCCGAGGTGGTTGACATTCTCCCTCGCTTCAAGGCATGAGGATGGGAGGCCGAGGAGAACCATCCCTGAGTGCACTCTGTGATTGCAGCCCGACATGAGAATTGGCTATTGACTCCCGAGGGGGAAAAGTTCCTGACGTGCACTTTGTCGTGCGTGCACTCAAAGTAAATTGATACTAACACTTATACGTAGTATAGGTGAAGTAGAGTTCGTATCCACAGGGAAAGGAATAACTTTCTTTTTATAAAGATAGTAAATAAAGGGGGGTTTTGATTGTTGAGTGATTTAATTAAATTAAACACGAAGATGAACGAGTTATATGGGATTAAATTCAAGAAAAATGGACTTGGTCTTGCTACTTTCCACTTGTTGATATATTTTAGTCGATCATTGTTATATCTATAACTTATCCCCTCTCGAATACTCAATCGAGGAGTATATCCAATTCATCGAGGGTAGTTATTAACAACGACCGTTCATTAATAACCCTTACTATTTATCAAATATAGAACAACGCCGTATACCGATAGAATAGTAGCTTTTAACCTCTTTAACTCCTTGATGAAATCAATTAAGATTGATAACCTCAACACAACGGTTTCGGTTTAACCAACAAAATTAATCCCTCTTAAGTTTATTAACCACGACCGTGCATTCATAAACTGAAGTTACTTACTTATGAAACCATCAACGTTTAACCATCGGTTCGTTGAACGTTTCTAGTAATAATCAACGTTGGAACGTTAACTAATCGTCACTTAGCCACCCTCCAACATTAATATAGAATGAGATTAAGGGAAGAGTTAATAATCAAGAGGAGAAAGTAAGAAAATAACTCACAACTTTAATAATCAATCAAGCTTCAAGAGCAAAACCAAGAAATGGAAGTTTAGCTCCTCATTTGGAGACTAAACATACTAAAAGAAATATAGAGAACTTCTATTCTAAACTGAGCTTAAGAGTATAAAGGAATTGGTATCTAAAAGTGGAGGAAAGGAGGTGTATTTATAGGCTTTTTGAGGTGCAGGTCGAGTACTCGATCGAGTATGTACATATACTCGATCGAGTATGTGTAGAACTTCGAATTCGATCCATACTCGATCGATATTCGGGTATAATTTATAGCTATACCCGATCGAGTATGTCGGTGTACCCGATCGGGTATAGACACTCGATCGTGGAAAATCTTCTCCTGCATGTTCCTTTGTTTTCGGATCCGATCCAATTTGAAATTTCAACCAGATACCCGATCGAGTATATGTATATACTCGACCGAGTATAGACCAAAATCAGGATTTCCTTTTTGTCTTGTGATTTTTTTGCACCTTCTTTCCACTTTTGGGGTTCACCAACTATCCTTTGAGTGATGGCAGACCTGTTTGAGCCCAGAATAAACCTAATCTAAACATTTTACAATAATTTAAATAAACTAAACTATTACACCAAAAGTGTGTAATTTCCGAAATGCTAAACTACAAAAAGTAACTAAAAATGCAAACATAAATACGGAAATTACACGTGTATCAGTTCCTCACTTACGATGGGAGTTGTTCTATGCCGAGGGAGAGTAGCACATGCAGCATCTCGTCTACCGTCGGTTACGCCGGAAGGATAAGGATTTTACTCCCGCCAACTATGGTCTCCCCCTGATGAGAATGATCCTTCTGAAGAGATGAAGAAGCCTCTGTCCTAGCAGCAGGATCTCATCCCTTACTCCGATATGGAGGATAGGGTTAATGAAGAGGGTGCAAGCAATAAGGGCCACTCGAGCAAGGAAATCGAAGGCAGAAGCGTCCATAACGAGAATCTGACCATTGGAAAGATGTGAAATGATGTGATGCCTTTTGGCTTCCCTTGTAATAACCCCTGTAAATGGATAAAGTGTCAACTGATGTGATTTTTTCCATCAATTTTAGGGAAACATATCCATTTGCATTCGTACTTCTTTTCTTCTATTCACATTTTTATACTAAGAAAAATTTTCTCCTTTTTTGAATGTATGTTTGATCTATGGACTTCACATCGGAATTGCGTGTTATGCATCCTAGGTGCCTAACTATATCTTGGCTGTCATCGGCCTGTCTCACATCAATTACACCGAGGTGACAATCTTGGACTTGGCAATTTTTGTACTTAGCCATTTTTCTTGATTGTTAAATGTATGGATGCACGTCGTGTCACGCCCCGGACCGCGATCCAAGCGCGTGTACAACCGCCGTATAATCAAGTGACGTCACCCGCGAGTCAACCTCACTTAATTACACAAGGCGTTCGAGAATATAAACCATCCATACTCAGTAGTAAACATACATAACAACATCACACTTAAACCAATGAATAGCGGAAATATTCAACGGTAAGTCATAAGCCACAACCGGCCAACAACATGGGCATGCAAGCCCCAAAAGTAGTTTATAGTAGAACAAATATCCATGAGCAAGTGTTCGGTAGTTTGAAAGAAAATAAGGAAGCACGAACCACGTCTTCCTGAGTCGATATCACCCGTAAGAGAGGTGCAAGTAGCAAGCCCTAGCTTCAACCTGAAAATGGTGGGGGCCCCCGAAGGGGTCAGTACAAGTACCGAGCGAGTAGCAGGCTAAATATAGAATAACTAGCGTTTCAAGTATAAGACCCAAACATAGGATGATACATATACGTATAGTCCTTCTCCCAAGTTTGAAATACATATTAGTATACATACACTTGGAAATACCCGACCCGTAGGTCATTGTTTATTTGGGAAAATAATAGTAGCCAATATCCTTGACTTAAATCCCAACCCACCCATATACCTATGAGTGTATAGAACTCCTCCTTGTTCAAATAAATTATCATAAGGACACCGCCCGGTCCTAGATCATTAAATGTAATCTATGAGTTTTGAGGATACACGCCCGATCCTTGGGTACTCCACCCTATAATTGAGTTTTGAGGATAACCGCCCGATCCTTGGGTACTCCACCCTATATAACCGAGTTTTGAGGATAACCGCCCGATCCTTGGGTACTCCACCCTATATAACCGAGTTTTAAGGATAACCGCCCGATCCTTGGGTACTCCACCCTATATAACCGAGTTTTGAGGATAACCGCCCGATCCTTTGGTACTCCACCCGACCTATGACTTACCACATATCACGCTAGATAGGGTCTATATCATATTTAGTCATTCATAACTAATTCACTACATAAAGCTTATGTATCACAATCCATGCAAATCCATGCAACCATATAAATGTATAATTAACTAATATCAACCGATATTAATTAATCCATTAACCATCGGTCAACGTTGTTGTTGACCGCCATCTCAAGTCTTACACTTATTAACTAATTCATCATATAATTAAGTTAATAATATCCATTTGTGCTTCTTTTACTCTTAAAGCAAATATGCATTATATATAATTTCTCATATCATATTTCATGCATAAACAATTATTCTTTTCATACGCACTTAACTATGTTAGCTAATCACATGTTTAAATATCTTTTGAACATCATTATGAACACATATAACATTTATTTAGGTAATCTCATAATTGACCCAAAAGTTATAAGATATTAAGCCGTCCACTCACCTTGAACTAGCGTTAAGAAGTTCTACCCTTCTTGGTTGAACTCCGGTGAAACTCCGGCGACTTTTGGTCAACTCCGGCGACAATTCCGGCGACTTTTCCAACTTTGTGAAATCACTTGAAATACCCTTTACAAGTGCCTAACAAGGTTTTATAATCATAAAACCCATGTTAATACAAATAACCTCAAAAAGGTTATTTTCCGGTGAACCGGTCGTTTTGACTTCTAAGTCCGTTCTTGGACATAGAATCACTTCCCAACCCATAAATCCATACTTATAACATGTAGAACCCTCTTAAGGATCCTTCACATGATATATATCTTATATGGTAGAAGAAAAATAAAGGAAAAGTTATAATAAGGTCATTACTTTAATTGTTCACACCTTTCCCAACCTTTTTCCTTCACCAAACACTCCTCTTTGGACCTTCTTCCTTGAGCTCGAATTTGGGTGTGAAAATGGTGAATTGTAGAGCTCCCCCTTGCTATTCTTGGTTGCTTGGTCGAGCCAATGAGTGAGGGAGGGGAGGGGATGGCTCTCTTTGTCTCATTTGGCAAATGAGTGAGGAAAAGGGCCCCTTTGGGTGTACCTTTGATGCCCAAGCCTCCTCCTCCACACTTTCCTTAGTCAACTCCAGCCCATCCTTTCCTACTCTAGCACAAAAACGTGGGGTGGCCCCCACTCATGTTGGAGGTCATCCCTTTGTGTCCCGACGTGTACAATCGGTCCCGAAAGTTGTATTTTTCGGGCTGTTTTAATCATATTTTATTTTATCGGGTCAAATAAAATATATTATGTGCTCTTACTCATTATGACATGTATAATGAATATACATTCCCCAACTTTAATTTATAAGCCTCCGAAATTCATTTCCGGGCTGTTACCGGTTAAATTGTCGGTACCGGTAATTGGGCCTCTTTTTCCCAATCGGTCAACTCTACGCCTTTCCACGACCCAAATGAAATACTCACCACTATGTAAATATTATCTTGAGCAAGATGAATAAAATATGTGGTCTCGGGAGTGTCGGGCGGCCCCGCTCCCGGTGTGGGTCCCACGTGCAATTTACTATTCACGCGAAAGAAATAATAAAAATTTACAACTTCGTAAATTCATTAATCCTTTAATAAGGTTCGATACATTATTTACATAAAAGTAAATATATTTGGGGACGGTGTTACACGTCGGAATTTCTGTTGCACAATGTGGTGTCTACCTGCATGTATCTTCGCCTTAGGAAAAATAGTCCAAGGTAAAATATCTTTTGGTTGCTGCCCGACTCCACTTTGATAATGTTGAGGTGCTCACTAAGATTTGCCTTTGTGAAAAATAAGACTGGTAAATATTATTGGGGTTTACTCTTTTTGTTGCTCGAGTCCGACTAGGTGTCATGTCCTCGGCTCCCTCTTATCTTTATTTTTTTGCGCTTCTCTTTACTCTTTGGAGCGAGTAGATATGTGACCATGTTGCGGTATTTTGTAGGTCCGCGTGTCGGATGAGGAAGTTATTTGTTTCCCCTCATCTTGTGGCATTTTGTCTCACTTAAGAGTTTCCGGCATCGTAGGTCGTTGGGGTCGGACTTTATGGTTGTTGCACTGAACCCATCGGAAATGCCCTTAAGTGTTTAGAGTGATTCAAAGTCTCAACCATTTTGCAGGCATGTCGTCCTTCATTTCATGAACTAAAGTTTTGCAAGCTTATGGTCCTCGTTTTTGGAACCTTAATCACTTTGCAGGCTTATGGTGCCAAGTGTTAAGTCGTCACTGGCCACACTTTCCTGGATTTTATACCGTGGGGGGCCGAGGTGACTACTTCGTTATTTTTTTCCTTTTTTTAATATTGAGAGATGTATATGAGGTATAATTTTATTCATAATGGTGGCTCAAGGCCGGGGGTAAAGGTTTTTATTCATAATGGTGGCTCAAGACCGGGGGTAAAGGTTTTTATTCATAATGGTGGCTCAAGGCCGGGGGTAAAGGTCTATCAATAATCTTTTTAAGGAGTTAGCTTGTAAATAAGCTTTTCAACTAGGAACTGGGCGAGCAGCAAAGCTAAAATTTAGAGAAAGAGCTTGATATTAATGATGCTCAAATCCCTTGACAACTATCCCTAAGGGGGTATTTATAGCAGTAATCAATGAAGCGATGCATTAAATGCACTACACACATTGGCTAATCTCAATGTTCAAAAAGGCGTCAGGCACTAGTCGGACCCCAGCCCAACGCCTAGCGCCTATGCGGCTAGGCGGGTGCCTAGTTGGGAACTAGTCGGAGACCTATAAATTGCATTTTTATCTATATTTTTTCATAAATATGATAAATAATATTGTATTCTTGTGTGTATAAAATACATATATACACATACATTGATAAACATGAATGCTATAATTATCACATTTAACCAGACGTAGTATATTAGTATATGATAACTAATCACTTAACATTATTATGTTATAAATAATAATAATGATGATGATGATGATGATGATGATGATGATGATGATGATGATGATGATGATGATGATGATGATGATGATGATGATGATGATGATAATAATAATAATAATAATAATAATAATAATAATAATAATAATAATAATAATAATAATAATAATAATAAGGGCTAAAGGGTCAAATAGGCCCTCGAACTAACCTAAAAAGTGCTATTCACCCCTTATATAGGGGGCTCTGTCTGGTCGTCGCCAATTGGGGCGGTTACCGGTGTAATTTTTTGATGAAATTTTTTGAGAATCTTCTTCATTAAGTCTAGTTTACTCGTACCAAATTTCAGCTAAATATTCAATCGGGATGGCAGTAAAATGAATTTTTGAAGATAACTGCCCAATTAAACAACACAATACATTTCAGAAAATTATTTGACTGTATTCCCGGTTGAAGTTTTATCTTAAATCTGGTATGAGTAAACTAGACTTAATGAAGAATATGTTCAAAACATTTCATTAAAAAAATTCACCAGGAACCAGGCCCGTCCTGACATTTTATGGGCCCGGGACAATACAAATAGGTTTGGGCCTTAGGGATAGCGCGAAAATGTTTATAATGTTCTTTTTGCTATAAAAATCTACTAGTATAATTTAAAATCATACAATATTACCGTCAAAATACTAGTATAACACAGCAAAGAAATCAACAAAGCATATGGTTAGAAAATATATATAGAGGGTATTGAATCTATTGATAAGTGACATTCGATGATACAATGTACCTAACAGCCGAGTGAAACAAGTATTGCAACTATATATTAGGCACAATAAATATTTTGAATTAAAGAAAGTTGTGAAAGTTATATCTTATATAAGGAGTAACTATTTCATATTTTAAATCACATTTTCACTAGACAAAAACAAATTCTAAGCTTCTAAATTATGGACACTAAAGTTCAATCTTTCACTAAAGAGAGAATTGGAGGAAATTTGTGAAATACATCAATGAATTCTGGATATACATAAGACATGTACACTAAGTCACTAAAAGATTAAATTTAATGTAATAATCCGTAATGATTCAAAAGAAATGGTGAAATATGTTCCCAACGAATTCTAATGTGGATGTTTCTAAATTATAGACTTGTATCGTGTAGATGGTAAATAACAAATTAGAAGTATCTAAAAATATATGTTTGATTTTATTTTTTATTTTTTGTATAGAATTAGGATGTATATATAATTAAAATATTTATGTACACATATATGTTTGAGAAATTTATGGGCCCTACTGGAGCAAAGGGCCCTGGGCGCATGCCCCTCCTGCCCATGCCCCAGGACCGGCCCTGCCAGGAACCTCCCCAACAGGCGGGAAGTGTTTGTGAATAACTATAAAAAGAAAGAAACATACTTTATTACTTCGGTATGTTTCATTTTCAAATTTAGATTGCTATCACATAGTAATTGTTGATGGATCAAGAAGAAAAATCATACAAATTCTAAAAGTTATATTTTAGAGAAAAGGGGCACACAAGTCCTCAAGCTTTATTGATTTTTCAACCAAGCCCCCGAACCGAAAAACCTTATAAATATATTAGTCAATACATTTAATCAAGCAATTGAGTAATTTTTACGTGCCCGTATCGGTACGGCGGTATTTTTTCGTAAGAAATTTCTGGTACCAACAAAGTAAAGTCGATGTTTCAAAAGTCTAATAGCAAAATTGATAATGGCTCTGAGAGCTTATTTGCACATTTTCTCTATTTTTCTCGATAGTAACTATTTCTCTATTTTAAATAGAGAAATAATTGTGTCTATTTTAATACGGATTACGAAAGTCTAATACGTAGTATCTTGGAGGCAGACAAAATCAACAGTCAACTCTCAAATCTCAATTACGGTTTCATGGCTTCTCTAAGTAAAATATTAAAATAATCTTTGCGGCTGGTCTACTTTAAAAATGATTTTTTAAGTGATTTTAGATAAAATGTTTAAGAGTAAAAGTTAGTAGTGTTTGAGAAGAATACTTCTAAAAAGATAAATATTGATAGTGGTTGGTAAAATAGATGTTTTTCTATAATAGAAAAAGTTAAAAACAATTTAAAGTATTCTTCCACTTACTTCTAGATTTAAGCTTTTGGAAACACCTTTTTTAATTTTTCCCTAAGTATGATAAAGAACGAACTAATGAGTCAAATTTTTACCACAAATATTTAAATACATAGAACAAATAAAATTTAAGTTGCGATGGTTACAAACAATTTTCTTTTACATGACTCAAAACAATACAAAGAAAATAATGCAGTAAACTAGTTGCAACAAAAAATAATAGTAAAGCACATGATATACTTTTTGAACTTTAAAACCAAAATTTAAAACCAAAGTTTTTCGTTATTTTTTATTTCATTGTCTTTGATTTTGCTTGTTTGGAATGTTTCTATTATATTTTTGTTGAGAAAAAGAGATTCGAGATTTCGTGGAAGGTTGTTTGCGCGTATTTATTAACTTTTGAATATATAGAGGTGAAACCTTGGCAAATGATTGTGTTTGTTTTCAAAGTACGAAAAGTGGGTTTTTTTTTTACCTAAAGTTCTCCAACTTTTGAAAAAATTAATCATACATTGTTAAAAGAAAGTGTACTCTTAAATTTATCTATTTATATTAACAATAGGACTTTCATATTTTTTTCCATTAGCATTAGGTGATCTCAATTTCAATAGTGAAGCTCTGAGCTACCAAGAGTTCACTTTAGTATTTGAGAGATGTGAATCTCAACTATTCCAACAATCGACTTGATTCACAATTGCACACAAAAGTCATTCTTAATTAACTGCTTGATTCCGCATAACCTCAATCTAGCTCCCATCATAGCTTCTGGTGGAATTGCCACTGACACGTTTAACAGTTAACACCACTATGTTCCAAGAACAGAGTTAACTCTCACATTGCTGATTGAGGCCAGATGAAATAGTGATCACACAATCGATCACTCAACCTAGTCCCGTTATTTAAGAAAAACTTCCCACGGGTCACCAGAATGACGACGAACGTCGTCAGAGCAAGCCCATAGCCATCGGAGACAGTCTAGCCCGCATGG